GGGAAGGGGTGGAGGGGGGGGGAGGGGGGTTGGCAGGCTAAGAAAAAAAAATACCTATAACAAATTTAATATCAATACTCTTGTGGTATACAGACCAATGAGAGCAAACTTGTTTCAGGCAGAATTTCTTTCAAAGGCATATCCGTCCTTCAGGTTCATTTCAGACAGTAATCAAAGGAGACCAAATGAGACAAACTCAAAAACTACAAAATGGAATTTTTCAAGGTTTCACTCGCCACAAAGTAAATTGCCCATCGGATGCGACCGGAGTCGCTCGTAGATACCACACCCATAAGGGAGACCCATCGACGACCGAGTTCACAAGTTTGAGTTCCATTTTGACAACTTTGGGCATCAGATTTTGAAAGATTGACACGTTTTCCAATTCCTTCCAGAGAGGTTTTCTATTAATGATTTCAGTCTTGGCTAATCAGGGGATGACTCAAAACGGAAATCCCTTTCAACTTTTTCAAACCGGACAGATTATCTCGTCCCAACGATATCGAGAGCAGCAAATGACAGAGTACCACTGTAAATAAATTTTATTTCCTCAACACATCGATTGCTTGGATGTTTGACGAACGCATTCTTTCGTAGTCGACGAGAAGACAGAAGTATTCAACCCATCACAAAAAATGCAGAAAAACCACACAAAAATAAGGAATCGGTGAACTTTCACCCATTGCGACTAGGAAGAAGGCTTTCACGCAATTTTTTCCAGCCAATCCCGAACGGCTCTCAAGTCGCAAGAACCGTCTCTGCCGTCGGCGAACCCTTCGGCGACGTCGAACGACGCGGCGGAGAGGTCCGAGAACTCGAAGGCCTTCCCCTCCTTACCGAGGGACGCGTGCCGGCGGACGCCGCCCTCGGTGCTGGCGAGCTGGCTGCTCTTCGTCTTGCGAACCAAATCTCTGCAGAGCAAAATAACATGCACTCGTGGAAGGTAAATCAGGCACATCGATAGTGAAGCTTCGATCAATTTGTCAGACTTGTTGCAATCTATAGCTACTCATATTTGATTGATCACCAAGAGGATGTTTTATTTCCTACCCATGTAATTCTATCCACTGTCCAAGGTCCAATGAAATACCTGTCCAGCCATAAGGTTGGGGTTGATGAACCAAAACAGAGGACATATTAAATAACTTCATCTCTGAAGAACTGAAAATGGTTCGAGTGGCAAGGAGGTGACACATTGGACAAACGATCTTGCTCTATGATGAATAAGAGAGACCATGGATTTGTCAAGATGTTTCATTCTGATTTCCAAGTTATCCTCAGAAGACTCAGGAAGGTAATTAGGAAAACTAAAAGTCAACTACTTAAGTGAAGAACTCTTGACTAATCAGAGTTATATTTCATACCAATCAGCAGAAATTCACCTTTCAATAAGAAGAATCATGGACAGGGTCATGTACCAATCTTAATAAATTACAAAACTATGGGAAGCCCTGAAGTAATCTAGCCCCAAACTGCATAGTGCAGAGAACAACAAAATGGTTTCATGGCTAAAGAGCAGGAAATCATGAATGTAAGCTAGTAGTCTTCCTAGCACTCTCCCATCAAAACCATGACAGAAGGAACCACATCAGCAGGAAATGCATTAATCGTGTTACATTTCTGTTCAGCGTGGAAACAAATTAAATAGGGATCACAAGCTGACCATCTCTTTTTCTTCGAGCTCACCAGCCTTCCCGTTCAGAAGACTCACATTTCACGTTCCAAGAGATTGCAGATGACACTCCCCGACTTCGCCAGGGCTTGGTCGTGCTTATTGCAGAACAGGAGCAGGGGAGGACTGGAAGCATGAATCACTTCATCACTGAGGATATTGTAGAGGCATCTAGGAAATATATTCAAATGAAAATAAGAAAGACAAATTTTTCTCATGTCCTCCCTTCAAAACCAAGCATGAGAATACCATTCCCTGAATTTACATGTAATCCATTTCAACATATTATTGCCTGGATCAAAGCATGGTTCCAAAATAACAAAAAAAGTAGCCTCTTTCTCCTACCCCCAGTAAGACACACTCACTCTGCAACATCTCGTATCTCCTTCTGAATGGTGAGGCTGTCCACGAAGAAGACTACCCCACGGATGTTTGCTCGATAGGGGTCGAGATTCAGGTCCCGAATCCTTTCTGAGCCTGGGATGTCCACCAAATCAACCAATTTCTGTAGAAATCATGGAAACTTCTCAGCCTTTAAAACATTACCATCATAACTAGGGAGTTTAACCTGATCACAGGACCAAGAAAGCAATCGAGAAAAGCAAAATAGGCGATTATAGACAGCAGAAATCCCTCTTTCAATCTCCCTCAGAATAAATGTGAATTTATTCCTTGCTACTGACCTTTTTCAAAGTACTGAAAGTGCCAATATTACACTTCATCGATGTGACAGTATGCACATGCTTCTTGCCCAAAAGGCGAGTCCAGGCCTGGGTTTTCCCTGAATTGCAAAGGCCCAGAAACACGACTGCCCTGCCTCTTGCCTTCTTTCTCCCAAAGAATATGTAGAGAACTGAAAGAATAAAAGAAAACGAAACTTTTCATGACAGATGCCTGCTCCCTAGCATGGCTCAGTTCAAGCCTTGAACCTCACAGGAAACTCACTTATAATGGTCAGGAAAACTATGAGGGTAGCAACGATGACCTGCGTATTGAAGAGGTTCGTTGAAAGCCCTAAAGACTCGTGATGTAACGTTTGAGATTCCCGTTTGGATTCATAATTCGTAGGTCTAGGCCCACCATTAGGACTCGCCATTTCCCCGCAGGACAGGAGACTTCGTCTCAAGTAAATTCAACTTCAAAGGATAATTAGACCATTCAACGTCAGCAAACTACAAGACAGGGTGAAACTGGCCGGAGCTACTGCCACATGTGCAGCGCGCAGTGGATGCAGCCATGTCGAAGGACGTGACGCTAACACGGTTGCCATATGGCTGCGATGCTCCTAATAGTGCGAGGACGTTAAGCTATTTTTCAAACCTCATATGTCTCCTATGTCACAATTATATTAAGGTAACTTCAACATTCCGCACCTAATTCCAAAATTTTTAATGAAAATGCTAATAGCATATGGGAATAAGTTATCATGAGTGAGGCTGGTGCTGACTACGTAAAAATACGCGGAACTTACGCCCCTCATTTCATTGACATGCAATCATCTGAAAATAATCATTTTGCTATTCTTAAAAATTTAAAGCATAATTAATAAAAATAGCCTCAGCTACTTCTTAGTATCAAGGAAAAACTGAAACCGCCCGAACGCCAGAGTGTGAAAAACGACCTTCATCGACCGGCCGCTGCGGTCCTCCCCCCAGCGGTGACGTCACGGAATTTCCGCTTCCCAGAGAGGAGATAACAACATCGGAGAGAGAGGTTACCATCGTCGAGGGAGCAAACGTTTTTTCCATCAAAAAAGCCAAGTAACACCATGGCTGACCCGGAGAAGCAGCCAGAAGATCCTAAGGTTGCTAAAGAAAAGAAGATCATAGGTATGGACTTCTGCTTTTATCGATTTCCTTTGAAAATCGGACTTGAAAGTAGTGGTACCACGAGGCTCGCGTGAGGCCTAGGTCTAACGTTAGCCTAAGTATGCGCTCTTTGTGGAGGATTTGTATGGTCCACCTTCAACTTTTAATCATGTCTCCAGCGCTTTTGAGTGAACTAGTGCCGAATCGGTTTGCTATGCGCCTTTTTTTTGGAATTTCCTGATCGTTTTAGGGAAGGTATAAATGGGAGCGAAAAGGACAAAGAAGCCGAAATGGTACTCCTGTTATCGAATATTTTATATGTTTAGTGTTGTAATCATTTCCAAAGTGTAGTTCATCTGAATTTAGTATTTTTCGATTCACCTATCCCTTTATGGTCAGGAGACTCAAAATGTGCATCATTTTTTTTTTTTTTTACAACGAGTAAAAGCTCGAACTTTGTGCAATTCATCATCTTGTTGCCATGCATTGACCCAGTATATGGAGAGAAGCTCTTATAAGGTTTTTATGCATCCCCTAAGGATTTACGTTGAATTTTTCAGTAGGCCATATTTAAATATGCCCCCCCAACAAGCCTGCTTACCCTTGCTGAGCATGTTGGCAACAATCATGTAAGAACTTAATGTTGGGAGCTTTCATGGGAATTCTCCATATATTTTTTTGTAAAGGAGTTTGTTCCCAGGTTTCTTCACATATATGTTTTAACAAATTGACTGCTGGGGGGGGGGGCTGTACACCATTGTATTTGTTGGGTTGGGCCAGGTTTTGGCAGTGATCATTAAAAGGTATATATGAGTGAGTAGTGTCAACCATTTTTTGTGGTCATTTTCAACTTACACATGTGAAGGAAGTTTTCCCCCAAAAGGAATGATAGGAAAGGTATGAAAAAAAGGCTTAATGCATTTTGCTACAAGGGTTTCTGTGGTATCTGCCTGGAGAGAGCTTGATATACCTGTCAATATTTATCTTGGATAATGGCTGGGCATGGAATGTGAATCCATGATACCTCTTCCACTCTGTGAAGACACAAATGTGTGAAATCTTTTAGCACCAAGTCAGTTTCTATCAATTAAATATAATAATTATATGCAGGGCTTGCATTTACACACAGATGTGCGTCCTATACGCACAAGATTCCGAAGGGATGCATAGCAAAAAAATATTGGGGTCCCAGGGACGCACAGGAAAGTTCTAGATTTTCTGACTGGTTTTCAGACTAGTTGGCAGTTGCCAACTAGTCTGAAAAAAAAACTAGCCTCTAAACCTGCCTAAATAAACCTGTGCACAATCTTATTAGTGACAGAAAGGGGGGGTAGTCCTTGCCAAGGAAGGTGCGCGACGTGAAAGTAATGAGAGCAGTGCATGTTGCATTGTGTTCACGCACTCTTGAAGTATTTCCGTTTGTTTCAATTAAGACTTTAGGGCGGTTTGGGCCAACACTCCTCTTGTTCAGTTACACGTGGAAAATTTACGATGTTAGGTTATTAGAATCACACATTGGCATACGTTCAGATTTTCCTGAACATGGGCCTATTGGCATAAAGAAAGATATCAACAATGTAGGTATAAATTCAAAACGAAGGTGATGTCATCGTTCCACTTAGGGTGCACAGAGAAGGGAAGATCGCCATAGGCTTTGACCTAGTCAAACCAAAGGGAAAAAGAGATGGACGTGGGCAATTATGAAAATGGGCAGCTTGTGAGCCATGAATCACAATGAAGGAAGAAAGATTTTAAAAATGGAAAAAGGCATGGGTCAACATTTATTCCTGGCTTTCCTATAGAGATGGAAGAGCTTCCTTTGACTTCTGCTCAAATGCAAATAAGAAAAATCACCACTCAGCATCTGGCTGTCGTAATATGCAGAAGTTTGTAATTTGCAAATTTGAAGATCCTCTAGGGATATTTGTCAAAGAGAAATTGTTGGAAGTAGTCCTAAGGCTGTTGGATTGAGTATCATGCTTTTGGTCATGTTAAATCAAAGAATAAATACTGACTGTGGGATTTGGAACTTTTTGTGCAACTTTGCAAGATTTCATCACGCTTCAATTGCGATGGGACCCCCAAATTTTCCTGAGTGACCCTTATAAGACTTGAGAGTCCTGGGGACCCTTAAGGTAAGAAAATTAGTGCAAGCCCTGATATGACTGAGGGCAGTAGTTTATTTTCTCATTACTGGAGCCCTATAGAGAAATTTCCTTCTTTTTCTCCCGTCTCCGACATTCCTGTGACAAGGTGTCTTCCTCTATCTGCCTAGAATTTCTGTACTACATTTCTTATCAAGCCCATGAGAGACCACTTATTTTGATGAGTGGCAAGTACTACACTGCAATGGTGAAGGAATGAATGCTATGTGGGCACTGAAGTATCATTTATCTGACTCTTATATGTCTTATTTTTCTGGTAGAAGTTGTCTGCCCATATGAAGCATAATTGGTTCTTCTGGAACATAGCAATCAAATTGCAAAGAGTTTTCAGTAATTTTGAGCCTGAAACTTCTCCATTAAGAAGAGCCTATCATGACATACCATTATTAGCAGACAGGTATGCATACCATGATTAATTATAGGCAGGTTAGACTTGTCTATCAGCCAGTTGTCAAGTAATGTTTCTTTAAGGCTAAGATGCATGATTTAACATTAGTCTTTTGAAATGGTTGAAATTGATATGATGGACACCCCCCTATTTTTTTCCTCCTTTCTCTGTAGCCCAGAAAGTGACCGGGACCGTGAAATGGTTCAATGTCAAAGCGGGGTATGGATTCATCAACAGGTGAGTACCTCACTGATAAAAAATGTTATGCTTATACTCATTAATTCATTTTCTCTGCATTCTTATTTAGTGCTCAATTATTTTATGGTGTGTTAGACTATGCATTTCATGAAATGCAGAGTAGGGGTTTTCTCAGAAGTCATGAACATCTTTGATAGTGGTTGGTGGATACAGAAAAATTAATGTTAATTCCTTCATGCATTGAAAGGAGTTGTACTTTTTATCTCGAGTTGTAGTTGCAGGGGGAGTCAATAAGTCAATGGCAATTTCAATGTTTCTACCATCCCTGTTAACCCTTTGACTGTTATAACACAGGGGGGATGGCTGATATGTTTTCATATAAAAATTGGCCCTGCTTGTCTAAAACCAATAGTTTATATAAGAAAGTCTCGCATCACGATAATTATTGAAGGTAGCAGTTACATATGTGTTATAGCAGTTACATACATGTTATTTCATAGCCATGAAATTACCTAGAAACAGTGAATGTTCTGAGCCCAATAACATAACCATGCTACCACTACTCAAGCCCGAGTATGTACTCGGGCAAACAGCCAAAGGGTTAAGTCTGGGTGATTATCTCCCAGTTGGCCTACCTTTCCTTATCCCCCAACATTTTGCAATGGATTCATTGGTTTTATTCAGACCAGTAAATGGTGGTGTAACTAATTTTTTTGGAACAAGGTCTTTGAATATTGTCTGACCTTGCCAGCAGTTCTTGCTTTGCAAACCTGTCAATCTTGGCACTGGGCAAATTTAAGCTGAACTTCCTTCATCTTAGCCCAGTAGAGGCTGGTAAGAAGTGAAGTGTTGAATATTGTCCGGTTGCACAGCTTCATTGTCAACAGACCTTTGCACAAGTGTGGTGTCATCTTTATTCTACTGTGGAGTCTTGCATGGAATCATTAATCACTCAGGTATAGACTTGATTAGGATTTTAGTGGTGAATTATTCAAACAGTTGGGGAAAAGTATGCATTCACCATTAGTCATGAGTACGTTATTTTGAATGTGTTTCATGGGCAGTTCCAAAGTTTGATGTAACACCAGACTCAAAGTGAAAACAAGTATGATAGTATACCTTGAAAATAGTTTAGTCCAGAAATTAAAGTGTCTTGTAGAACATAGGTACTTGTACCTATTCTTGCAAAAAATTTCTCATTTCTCTGGTGGATGAAGAAAAGTAATGCCATTCATTTTGTTATTGATACAATGTAGTTTATGCAACAGTTCTTCTGCTTCCCTCTCCAGTCGATCTGCTTTGACCTGTAGTTTCTATATTTTGAGAAAAGAAGCATGGACCATCACCATTCTTTGTGCCAAATGATGTTTGTAGTTAATCAAAAATGAAATGGCTAGGAGTGGTTTAACTGTATTACTGATGACAAAATTTATAAAAAATGAGGTTCACAAAGCATTTACTAAATTGATCAAAATGGAGTGCTGAATGAAAAGTAAAACCATTATATCTAAGGTGATATGTTTAATGAATCCCTCATGTTGTCTTAGTTCATTATCCATACATTGCAGAAAAATTAATTAGGTGGGAATTTTAGGAAAGCATTTTTATACCAATTAAGTCCCAATTACTCAGGAACTGCCTATGTTCGTGTCAGAAAAGCATGAAGCTCTCTTGCTTTTATCTGATCTGCATTAAGCTACTTTTTTCATTGGTGAGAACTAGGTGTTTTTGTATTCATTCTGGGAGAGGCTTAATTGTGTATTCCTTCTAAGTAGCCAGGGAGAGTAGAATCATGCTCATGTGATGAGGTTAGCAAGCTGTTCCATCATAAAAGGTGGAATGACTTTCTTTCGATACTTTCTCACTGGCTAGTGCAGAAGCAAAGTCTTTCGTCCCTCAGTTTGCAGCAGTACAACTTGTGTTCGTTGGATCACCCTTCGACTATATTTATTCATTTCTCATTTGTAAATCTTGTTCATAGCCTTCAGTTTCTAACAGTCAATTTCACTGTACCTTTTTCCCATTGTGTTTTGCATTGCCACATCCAGTAAGAATGCCTACAGAGACTGTCAGACAACTTAATTTTTATTCCATGAAGCCCAGGACACAGTCCTCATTTCCAATCTCAAACAAGCCCTTTCTTCTTGGCCCTAAATGCAATGCAAAAATGCTGTAACTTTGCCTCTGTGATGAAACAGATGGAGAGTGATCGGATCACTCATTTCAATCCATGCTAGCCGTTCCTCAAATCTGAAAAGAAAATCTTATTTGTGATGTGACCATGAGACAGCTGCAATGAACTCAGGAGAAGGATTCTGCAGTGTATGTTTTCAAACCTCATAGAAGGATCCTGGGGTTTAGATGCATCAATTGTTCATGGGGAAGGATTAGCTGGGGACATAGCTGAAACCTGTTGAATATTGTCTAAGGATGCTGAAAGAAACTGTTGAATTGTCTATTTTGGAGCTAGAATTCTCAAGATATGTCGAAACTGTCCACAACTCAAGGTAGAATCTTATGAATGTTGATGTTTTCGTCTCTGCAGATGAAGTACTCTCACATCCATGCATGAAGCCTCATGAGATGGATAATGACCATGGATATAGAGTGTGTGTTTAAAAAAAAAAATAAAGAGATTGTAATGGTAGCGTTGATGCCATGAGAGAAGCCTGGATATCGAATTCTTTTTCCATCTGTAAGAAAGCTCTCCTTTCAGTTGAATAGGGGCGTTTCAAGTTTCAAATTTCACAGTATGTAATTGGCTCGGTTTCTTTCTCCGGTAGCGCCTTGCCACTTGGCCCATCATGCACAACATGCCCTTCATTCGAAGCCATTCCTCCCCAAAAATGCATTTCGGCACAGACCAGAGATGACTTTTTCTGGCCCCTTTTGATGGGGTCTCACAGTATAGTTTATCCAGGCATTAAAGAGCGGGTGGATATTTGGACGCCCACACAGGGTGACAACTCCGGTCTCCAGGGCATGACAAATGATCATGAAGGCCTGTCATTTTCTTCCTTTCGTTGTCGGGTACACTCAAAGTCAGTGTTGCCAGAATTTTTTTTCTAAAAAGTAGATAAGAAATGACGGGATGAAATGCATCAAATCGATTGAACTTAATATTTGTACGTAATATTTTTTATAGTTAAATGCCTACGGGCAGGATGGGATAGGAATTTTCCCACTGGTGAATAAAGGCCATTACAACTGGACAAGTCGACAACACTGGCACAAGTCTGTGCCAGCAAGCTACCTAGGCAGGTCAACTCGTTCGCCTGACCAAGGACATGGATAATCCCCATCAGCTGTCTCATTTCTCTTTGTTATTGCCATTTTTACGAAGGACCGGGCGAATTGCTTGAATGAACTAGAGTCATCTTAGAAGTAGTTTTGGGGAGGGGAGGGGGGAGTTGCAGCAAATCCACTGTGGACCAGGATGACCTGAAAGGGAGCCGAAATTTACATTCCTATTGCCTTAGAAGCTCGTTCAAATGCAGTCTCCAAGTATGAAAAGGCCATTGTCTCCACATGAACGTATCATTTGCTCAGCCATCACTGCAGTTGACAAACTGGTCTGTGATGCTATGCAATTTTTGGTCAATATTTTCTCTCTTGCAAGAGAACATAACGCTGTCGAGCCATCAATTAGGCTCGGCTCATGCGTTTCAAGGGCATCACTCCCTCTCGGGGTGTTGACGAATGTCGTTTGCCTCGTTTCCTGCGAGGGTGGTGCAGAAAAACTGATTCTCGTCGGGGCTGCCGCGATGCGCGGTCGGTGGCTTCGTGGGTTTCGTTAGGGTTCGCGGATGCACGTTTGTGATGGGATTCCATCGAGCTTGGAAAGGGGTGCAAGGCGCCGAAATGACGGAAAGCGCTTCATCGTGGGAAGAGATAGTGCTAGAAACAGGTTTTTTTTCCCTCCCTTGTTCATTCGTTTCTATCCGTCTGTTATGGAAAAGACGGATCACGGGGGATTCGCATCAAGGCTAGATATTCTCGTCCGAGGAAATTACCGTTCTCTCGACTGGCCTTCAGTCGCGTCGATCATTGATGTAGCGTTTCCGTCGCATCGATGGCTCGGGTCGAAACGCGGATGTTTTTAAATTATTTATTTTTTGAATTGATGGCTCCCCCCATTTACTACATTAGCCGGGGCGGTTATTTTGAGACGGCGTTTATCATTCATGTATGACGTGCGGAGACGTATGGAGTGCAGTCGGTCGAAAGATCGCTGTACCGACGGTATCGGTCCTAATTCTAGCATCGAGAGTCACGGTAGCGGACGAGCGGCATCTGTGGACATGCTGCGTTGACGTGGAGGGAACTGGCACGCGATCACGAAAAGAAGGTGATGTCGGCAGGGCGAAATATGGGATCGCAGATATTTATCGGAATCTCATTGGGTCCGAAATCGATGCTTAGTTGTTGCATCTACAGTTATACATAGTACATCACTCGTGTTATCATAGGAAGACATCTCTTCGGAGGGAAGCTGGAAAATGTTCACCTTGATCGCAGACGGTTTTAGAGGATTTTTTTTTCGGTATGCTAGCAAGGGCTTGCAGAAAAAATGTAAAAATTTACACGAAGGCTGTGATGAATTTTCTCACCCTGGAAGGGTCCGTCTCCTTAGAGATATTCGAGTGACCGTTTTTGCTGACCGGGTGAGGCGAAATAAAATGTGCCGACTCGGAAACTTATTTGGAGTTCATGAAGCAGGTAGCACAATTTTTTTTTTTTTGCTACGAATTCGGTGTATCCTTTAAAGGTCCTTGAGTTCTCATTCTTTCCCCAGCACATGGGCGGAAACGCGAATGCAGCTCGAATTTATTTTTGCACGAGGAAACATGGTTGCCACGCGTTCAGCATACCGATCTTGAGCCAGAGCTGCTCCTTGTGCTCCTGAAAATGGTTTTTTTTTTGCGAAAGGATTGGGTGGGGCTAGAATTTTGCAAGAATTTCTTGGCACGGGGTGAAAGAAACGTAGACGGGTCGATAAGAGGCCGATTCACGAGCTGCAAGAAATATGTTCGTCTCGGAGGAAGAGAAGCAAGAGACTAAAACGAGGCGGAACCGAAGGAAACTGCGTTCGCGTGAAAGAAGTCATTGTTTCTCGAGATGATGATTTTGGGATGCAAAATCCCCGTGTGCTAATTGCCAGACGTAAGGAAGATTCGGAGATCTGCTCAGCCGGCTCAGAAGCGCTGGATAATAAAAAAAAAAAATATATATATAAAATGAACTGAATCATGATCCTTAATGAATGGGGCAGCGTCCCGGTGCGAGCGCACAAAGGAAATTCCAGTCGCTTTTGTGAAATCACTCGTGTTAAAACGGCTAAAGATAAACGGGCACATTTTTTCAAACGCTCAAAGAATACATAGGCGTGTATGTGAAAAAAAAAACTTCGTGTTGCCTGCTGTTTCAGAGGCGCCACAAATTTTCACAAAGAGCGGCGCGGTTTTTGGTTATTGTTTTATTTATATTTTTTTTTTTACCTTTCCCGATATATCTCCTGGGAGATGGGCTCCTTCAGGGTGAGAAAATGTCACGGTCTCCTGCCGTTTATGGCAGATTTTTCTTCATCTGGTGTGACGAGCTCTGCTCGGTCCATACACTCGTGTGGTGATCGTACGCCCGTGAATTTTCCAGGAAAGACACCGAAGAAGATGTCTTTGTCCATCAGTCAGCCATCCTGAAGAACAACCCACGCAAGTTCCTCCGCAGCGTGGGAGACGGAGAAGAAGTGGAGTTTGATGTCGTTGTCGGAGAGAAGGGGAACGAGGCGGCCAACGTGACCGGACCGAACGGCGCGCCGGTGAGGGGCTCGGTTTACGCCCCGGAGAAGAGGTGGGGAGGCTTCCGGCGCGGGAACTATGCCCCCCGCGGATATCCTCGTCGTCCTCGATTCTCCAGTCATCCTCGAAGTGGTCAGTATGGTGAAGGTGAGTTGGGGGGCGTCAACTCCTCTCACTCATTTTTTTATTCCGAGCTTGGTGGGAGTGGCCCTCCAGTGGGGGGGGGGGGGGGGGGGGGGGGGGGGGGGGTTGGAGGCTTGAGTGTGAGAAGTGGCCTGTCGCGCGGTTTAGCTTACGTTTGAAATAAGGGGGCAATGCCCTTTTCAACATTGGGTGGGTTTGAGACTGCGGGCTGCTTGCTTGTAAGTGTAAGCTGGCTTCGTCGTGGAGAATGTCGCAATGTTTCAGTGAAAATCTCCTTTTTAGTCTCATGGTGTAATGGTTTGTATGTATGTTTATTTGGTCCATTGGAAGGTACAGATGATTCTGGAGATGGAATGGATGAGGAAGGTGAATACAGTGACGCCCCCGTCCGTGGTCGGGGACGCGGCCGTGGCCGTGGATTGGGACGCGGACGCGGCGGGAGGTTCCGCGGGTACGGGTCGCGATACGTCCGACGCCGTCGCACGGAAGACGACAGCGATGGCCGCGTCGAGGGCGGCGAAGAGGAGCAGGTCGAGGAGCGACGCGGCTACGGTGGACCGCCCCGGCAGGATACTCGGGGGCGCGGCCGCGGCCGTGGGTACTTCCGTGGAGGGAACTACGGTGGATACTACCGCGATCGCGAGCGTGGGCGTGGCGCTGGGAGGGGCCGCGGCCGCGGTCGTGGTGGTCGTCCGCGACGCGAGAGTCAGGAAGGACGAGATGTGAGTTGTTTTTTCCCCGTCTCTTGGGGGGCTTTGCATGCGGTGTGGTTTTGTGAAGTCGGAGTGATGGAATTAATTGCCTGTCGTCGGTCCAGCTACGGTCCGCGTATCGCGTATCGTTATGGAGGCCTGGTCGACCTGCTCTTAAAATTTGACTCATTGTGACGAGACGGCTCGAAGTAAAAAATGATAGGGAAAATTGTCGAGCAGAGAATGTAACCATTTCTCGTCGTTCTGATGGGATTCGGTAATTGCTCTGCAGACCGAAGACCACGGAAGCACTGATGAAGGGGAGAAGGAAATCGACGAGGCAGGATCTGGAGGTGAAAATGCCCAGCGGGGAAACAACCGTCGCTATCGCCGACGCGGGGGCCCGAACCGAAGGGGAGGATCTCGTTCGCGTGGGACGACCCTGTCCGACTCTGAGCGGAAGGTCTGTCGACGGGTCGTCGTCGTTCCTTGGCCGTGTTTTTGTGTTTGGCAGCTGTCGAATTTCCAGATGGTGACGTGCTTCTTGTGCGATGTTCTTTTTTGGGGGGGAGAAAATGAAAAGATACTGAAGATTTTCATCCTCTTGCAGCGGAGAAGCAGCCATTCTCCCACTCCTCACTCATGAAATATATTCCACTTGGAGTTCTAACGTGTATGGTAACTAGTTAGAAATCTTATCCAGGGAATTATTAAAAAAAAACGCTTTCATAAGAAAGTGAAGACTGAATTTTCAGCAGGATCATGTGGATTTTTGTAAGTCATTCCTGATATCAGTCTGTTCTCCAAGTGGAATATGCTAATTCCTTTGAAATATGGGATTATGGAATATGATCAGAAGAGTTACATCCAAAAGCTCTTTTGGGGATCAGCCAATATTTTTTTGGTAACCCATGGTAACATTACTGGGGAGTTGGGTGGGCAATGAACACGTATCAACTGGTGCCCAATATTCGTTAAAGGCTCAGGTGTGACCTATTAAAAGTGATAACAAAGTGCTACTTGTACAATACAAAGATTTACTTTAAGGTGAGTGTTAACGTCAGAAAGGAATCTTTAATCCGTTTTTCTATCACTTAAAAAGGAAACTGATGGTGAGCAAGACGTGAAGGAGAATGGAGTCGACGACGGCGAACATGATGATGCTCACGCGCAAGAAGGGAAAGAGACCAAGAAGGCTGCATCTCAGAGCAATAAGGCATCGGTGAGCTCCCGCCGGCTCGATCTCGTCGAGAGGAGACTGCTGCCCCCTGCCTCTTTATATGACCCATATGTAAAAAAAAGTGTATGTTCCGTGTGTGTTACGAGATGGTGATTTTGTTTGTCGCCAGGACGGAGAGGCCCCCATGAATGAGGCCAAGAAGAGCGAAGGAAAGGCCGAGCCCGCCCCGGTCTCTGTCGTGAAGCACGAGGCCAAGGAGGCCGGAGCTCCCGACGCCGGAGACCACGTTGGAGACGTAAGCTGCCGTCGTCGGACGTGCATGCCGTCCTCGTTGCTCGTTCGATCTGACGTTTGATCGGGTGTCCTCGTGTTCTTTCCAGGGCGATGCCCCGCAGGCCGTCAACAACACCACAGGTGAAAGCACCGCATAGGATGACGTTCTCGATACTCCAGTGCTCCACCTCTCTTCAGTTTCTCTTTTGTCTCCATCTATCCTACTTCAAAAAATCCTGTTGGAGTTGCCCCTTACATCCATCGTGTAAAGATTTATCAACATCCACAAAAAGAAAGAAAAAAGAAAAAAAAAAGTGTGCTCAAGTAGGTTGTATAAGAAGACCTTCGGATAAGGATTGATCATCGTGTGTTGAGGGAAATTGTTTTGGGTGGAATTTTTTGAGTCCATCTCTAGTGTGAAAGTGCAAGCATTTCCCCCTTTCTTGGAAGGATGCCACCGAGTCCATCGTCTCGGTTCTTCTATCTGTTTCCGGTGGTTTTGTTCCTTTTCTGAAACGAAGGGTGTCCTCTTGTTTCGGTTTCCCTTCTTGCCTGGATGTGTGCTCATGCCTTGTCCCCCCATCTTGTATTCATGCCGTTATTAGGTTTTTTTTTTTTTTTGCTCTTGTAGGTGATGGGTGGCATCCTTCCACAGCGTGTGTTGTAGGCTCTCTGTCGGCTGGCCGCACACGTGCCGTCCCTCGCGCGGCGGCACGGATCCCGGTCCGCACGAAGTGATCGCTGGGGTTTTTTCAAATCAAGCCTGTACCCATCGTCGTCTCGATTGTACTCCTCTGAAGTTATATCCGTAATCGCCCAATGATCGATCGCATCGATGAGATGATCTAGTGGTTGTGCAGGGTGAAAAACATACAAGAAAAAAAAATGAAAATCCAATCCAATGAAAAAACGGGAAGGGCAGTAGATTTCTCATAATTTCTCCGGGTCAGATGGTTTTCTCTGCGAATGATAAGCCAGAAGATAGGCGGGAGAGGGCGCCACTAGCCGACAGAGAGTCGGCTTGGATCATGAGGGATGAATATCATGACCAGGAATGCAGCCCCAGTTTACGATCATGTCTAACAATTGATGCACATGTTTCCAGAAGCACACTCAAAATACACATTGAACCACACTCTCTCCCATGCCCCCAGCATGAAGCGAGATCCTAGAAACATCGTAATATCAGAAAGCTTTTTCCTTTTTCCATCAGGAGACCGGCCTCGAATTCGAACGTTCCGGCCGTAAACACTTCCCAGTGGATCGTGTTCCGTCCACGGGACGCGAGTAAGAAGAAAAACAAAAAAGAGTAATATTTATTTCTTCCACCAGTGCCCGTACCTGTTGCAGCGGCACCTGTTTTTTTTTTTAGGCATTTCAGGGTGAAATCTAGAAAAGGAGAACTGCCTTTTCTCATCCTCCGTCCTTCCGTTCGAGTCGGTCGAGGCGACTCGAGGAAGGATGGAGATGGAATCGTGTAGCTGTTTTGTTCTCGTTTTTCAAGTTCTTTCTTTGGTAACCGTTGATACCGATGAACAGCTCTCCCCTTCTGCCCTCTTTGATACTTTTGTATTGTTCTGGAGCATGTGCATTTGGAATAAATTGATGCATAATATCCGAAAGTCATTCCCAGGCTGTTCGCATCTTTTTTTTTTTTTAGGAGCGCTACTGAGCGATCTTGAATGTATACATAACATTTGGGATGAGAAATAATCTTGATCCGTTTTGAAAAGGGGAAAGTAGATACCTCTGTGCCCATGGTCTTCCCAGGAAAATTCCACATTGCAACCTCAGTGATAACGACTGGGGCATTTATTCCCAATTGCAACTCAAGATTTTTCATCGCCTGAACGACAGCACGAAGCGACGAAAGGGAATGCATGACGCGTGGACCCCATCCGCCCAGCGAGCGACCTCCCGGCCGAGGGACGAAGAACGAATGGATGCATCCAGCCTCCCGAGCCTGTAACGCGTGTTTTCCACTCGCCATTGGCTATCTTTCGATTTGCTTTTTCCTTGCTCGGTGGTCGTACCGATGCAGTGATGGTTTCCGTCTTCTGATTTAATTTTTTTGCGTGCCATCCTCTCGCGGCCGAACGATCGGACAAGGTGAGTCTCTAAGGCCGGAATACTTCTCGAAAGTGCTAGTTGATGGCACGGTCATTTCGCCACTTTCCATCGTCTATTTGCGGACTCCCGCACTAGCAAACGATGCGACGGTCTTCGGCGAAGCCGCCTCTCGAAGAGGTTCAAGTCGAACCGAACCTTCGGTATTGGACCTTTGTCTCTTTCCCCTCCGAAGTGGATCTGTTTTTCAATGAAGAAAAAAAAAAAGGGAATAATTGCACTGGAAGCGCCACTCATCGTGACGCAATTAAATCCTTTGAAGCCAACAACTTTCCAGCCCTCATTGATCCTTCCTCAAAAAAAAAAAATTCCTCCAAGCTTGGTTGATTTGTTTTTCGCCTTTCATTGCTCTTTATTCCGTGTCGTACTCACGACGAACTCTGCATCGCCGGAAAGCCCCCTCCGTTCGCGTTAAGCATGAAATTGGGACGATTCTTTCAAGAGTCATTGGTTGATTTCAAAACGACAGTTTGGTTTCAGTTTCAATTCAGTTGCATTTGCTGTTTGTTCGTTGTACGAATATAGTCGAAATGACCTAGCTCACCCCTTAGTTGCGAGTCTGGGTTGCCTCCATTTCCAGATATCGGTCTGACCAGAATGCGACCATGATGCGAAAAGATATTGAAGATTTTCATCCTTACAGCTGAGGAGCAGCCATTCTCCCCCTCCTCACTCATGAAATATATTCCACTTGGAGTTCTAACGTGTATGGTAACTAGTTAGAAATCTTATCCAGGGAATTATTAAAAAAAACGCTTTCATAAGAAAGTGAAGACTGAATTTTCAGCAGGGTCATGTGGATTTTTGTAAGTCATTCCTGATATCAGTCTGTTGTCCAAGTGGAATATGCTAATTCCTTTGAAATATGGGATTATGGAATATGATCAAAAGAGTTACATCCAAAAGCTCTTTTGGGGACCCACCAATATTTTTTTGGTAACCCATGGTAACATTACTGGGGAGTTGGGTGGGTGGGCAATGAACACGTATCAACAATATTTGTTAAAGGCTCAGGTGTGACCTATTAAAAGTGATAACAAAGTGCTACTTGTACAATACAAAGATTTACTTTAAGGTGAGTGTTAACGTAAGAAAGGAATCTTTAATCCGTTTTTCTATCACTTAAAAAGGAAACTGATGGTGAGCAAGACGTGAAGGAGAATGGAGTCGACGACGGTGAACACGATGATGCTCACGCGCAAGAAGGGAAAGAGACCAAGAAGGCTGCATCTCAGAGCAATAAGGCATCGGTGAGCTCGTGCCGGCTCGATCTCGTCGAGAGGAGACTGCTGCCCCCTGCCTCTTTATACGACCCATATGTAAAAAAAAGTGTATGTTCCGTGTGTGTTACGAGATGGTGATTTTGTTTGTCACCAGGACGGAGAGGCCCCCATGAACGAGGCCAAGAAGGGCGAAGGAAAGGCCGAGCCCGCCCCGGTCTCTGTCGTCAAGCACGAGGCCAAGGAGGCCGGAGCTCCCGACGCCGGAGACCACGTTGGAGACGTAAGCTGCTGTCGTCGGACGTGCATGCCGTCCTCGTTGCTCGTTCGATCTGACGTTTGATCGGGTGTCCTCGTGTTCTTTTCAGGGCGATGCCCCGCAGGCCGTCAACAACACCACAGGTGAAAGCACCGCATAGGATGACGTTCTCGATACTCCAGTGCTCCACCTCTCTTCAGTTTCTCTTTTGTCTCCATCTATCCTACTTCAAA